CTACAGTTGGCACCGGGCATCCAAAAGGTGGCCCGGGAATGGAGTTCTGGGAGCACCAAGAGCGATTTTGCGAGGATGTCCCAAGCGATTTCGGCTTCGGCGGCAGCCTCCCCGGGTCCCGCCCAGACCCCCCTGAGGAGTCATGATGTTCTCTTTTGAGACCACTAGAAACCTATCAGCAAGAGCTGTTAGGTAATAAGCCCAGATCGCTTCAAGGAATGGGGGGAGGAGGATGAGGAGGGGGAAGACGATGAGGAGGAGGAGGAACCGGGAGGGAAGGAGGAGGGTGGAGACGAAGGAGGAGGAGGAGGAGGAGGAGGAGGAGGAGGAGGAGGAGGAGGAGGAGGAGGAGTAGGAGGAGGAGGGAGAGGGAAGAAGGAGGAGGAGGAGGGGAGGAGGAGGAGGAGGAGGAGGCGGAGGCGGAGGCGGAGGCGGAGGCGGAGGCGGAGGAGGAGGAGAAGGAGGAGGAGGAGGAGGAGAAGGTGGAGGAGGAGGAGCAGGAGCAGGAGGAGGAGGAGGAGGAGGAGCAGGAGCAGGAGGAGGAGGAGGATCGGCTACACGTAAGAGTGACCCTTCGCCAGATTGACCTCTAGTGTTGGCCCTAATGGGGTCGGACAGATTCTCTTGAGGAGTGCGCTCGGCCTCGTGTCGGCGCACGCTGCACCAGTCTGCGATCGCATCAGAGCGCGCTTGATTCAGGGTGCGCCCCTCGCAATCGATCGCAACGCATGCACGGTGCATTCTGCCGCGTGATTCGTTTGGCGAGGGGGAGCCCAGTCGAGCGGGCGACGTGCTCTCCGCTTTGGGACCGGTCCCAAATCGTCCTGGAAGAACTTTGACTAGTTTTGACTAACTTTGAATAACTTTTCGCATTCCGCGCTTTAGAATTCAATTCTTCACTATTGAAAATTATTTTCGGCCGCGGGGGGGGCAAGTTTCGGCCCAGTTTCGGCCTTGACGCCGGACCCGGTCAGACGCCATCGCGATGCGGCCCGGCAGTGCCAGAACATTCCGCGGTGGCGCCCGATTACGTCTGGCTTCGCAGAGTCCTCGAGCGGGTGTTCTGGGCCGCCCGGAACGAATTGGCGGAGGTCTGCAATTGCCTGCTGGCGCTAGGGGTCGGTTTAAGCGCGCCCCACCGATCGTTGATGCAATCCGACGGCCTCGGCTTGCGCGGTTGCGCCAGGCCCCCACGGGTCCCCCTAAGGCCGCGCATCAAAGGGCACTCTTGCCTAGGGTCACTCTTACGTGTCGCCGAGAGAAGGAGGAGGAGGAGGAGGAGGAGGAGGAGGAGGAGGAGGAGGAGGAGGAGGGAGGAGGAGGAGGACGAGGAGGAGGAGGAGGAGGAGGAGCAGGAGCAGGAGGAGGAGGGGAGGGGGAGGGGGAGGGGGGGGGGGGGAGGAGGTGGAGGAGGGGGAGGAGGAGGAGGAGGAGGAGGAGGAGGAGGAGGAGGAGGAGGAGGAGGAGGAGGAGGAGGAGGAGGAGGGGAGGAGGAGGCGGAGGAGGAGGAGGAGGAGGAGGAGGAGGAGGAGGAGTGGGGGCCTTCGGTAGAAAACAATCACACAACTTTTGGGATGGCATTCTGACCCGGGACCACCCCCCGCGTCCCGCCCTGGGTCTTCCCTGGGACCCCCCCCCCGGCAGGGGAAGAGACAGGGAAGGGGCTTCCTTGCGATGTGATTACCATGTTCGATTTTCTTTCCCGTTGCGACGACGAAGAGGACGACGATTTCGATCACGGGATGGCATTCTGATCCAGGACCGCCCCACCGGGCCCCCCCCGGGTCTTCCCCGGGGCCCCCCCAGCAGGGAAAGGGACAGGGAAGGGGCTTCCCTGCGATGCCACATTCGATTTTCTCTCCCGGTGCGACGACAACGAAGACGACGACGATGACGACGACGACGACGACGACGAGGACGACCACGATCACGACGACGACGGTGACGACGACGACGACGACAAGCGGCCCAGCCCCTGTCACACGCCGAACAGGGTCGGCGGATATTTAGGTGCTTGTGGCAAATCCCGCCACCGTGCCAGCTCGGTACTCTTGGTGGCAGGGCTTCGGGCACCGAATGCCATCGCATGTGACCCCTCTCCCTGGCTTCTTCTTCAGGAACTGTCATGGAGTTACGTTGGGTCGTCTCGCGGCTGCCTCGGGCTCCTGTGATGCAATTTGGGTGGTCTTGCCGGGCCCTCGCGGGCAATATTGGGACACTGGTTTGTTTTTTGGGAGGCCTCTTGGAGCAGGGTGGGATTGTCTAAGGCCTTTCGGAGGCTCTTGGGATCGTATTTGGCCGTCTAGGTGCCACATTGGGTCGGTCAGTGGGCCTCGTCGGACCCTCGAAGACCGCAAGATGACCAATGTTCCACCGAAGGCCGTGGAGAGTGAAACCCTTCAAATAGTTCAAATGCAACCAGCAGTGTCGGCCCCTCGAGGGGCAAGGGGAGGAGCGGAAGCGAGCAGGAGGAGGAGGAAACGGACGAAGATCAGGAGGAACATGATGAGCACGGCGATGAGGAGTCGGAGGAAGAGTGAGAGATAAGGAGAGCAAGGAGAGAGAAGGAGGATCAGGAAGATGAGGAGGAGGGTGAGGAGGTCGGGCGGGAGGAAGGTGAGGAGGAGGAGGAGGAGGAGGAGGAAGCACGGGGAGGCTTCTGGAGAAAGCGCTGAGGTTGTCGGGGGGCCTCTTGGAGGCCTCGTCGGATCCACCCGGAGGTTCCTGGGACCTCGTGCGTGCGTCCTGAAGCACCAGTGGGCAGTGTTGACGGCCTCGGTGGCCTGCTCCGGCCGTCGTGGAAGCCTCGCAGAGCCCTGGCGAGCGCCAGGGAGGTAAGTATCCGAGCGCCCGGGGAGCTTCTGGGGGAGGGGGCAGTGCACGCGGAGCTTGCAGGCGGGGAGGGGGCGCTGCATGCAGGCGGCGCGGGTGCGCGCGGAGGAGTCGGGCAGACAGACAGAGAGACAAAGCCAGCACTTGTCAGTCTACCACGCCTCCACGTGCCATTCTTTGCGTCCGCCCTCCTCCTTCCGACCTTCTTCCTCCCGCTGGGCACCTCGGCTCAGGGACGCGACAGCGCCGTGCGCGGGCGCGAGCTCAGAGTTCGCGCGGGCATCGAGAGAGAGAGAGAGAGAGAGAGAGCGCGCGCGCGCGCTGCGCCAGCGCTCGCTGCACGAGGGGCGGCTTCGCGGGTCGCCAGTGGGAGGCATCCTCGTGCCTTGGGTCAGCCGCGGGGGCGCGAGGAGCCTCGCGCTCCGCGCGCCACAGCCCAGGCCTCGGGGAAGGTGCCCCGCTCCAGGGCGGCGGCGCGAGGGCGCGGAGTCGGGCGACCTGGGTGCACGAGGTGACGGGCCGATGTTCCACCGCCATACCACAGGTAGCAGAGGGAGGAGGGGAAGGAGAACAATGAGGAGGAGGGGGAGAAGGATGACGAGGAGGATTAGGAGGAGGGAATGATGAGGAGGAGGAGGAGGAGGCGGAGGAAAGGAGGAGCGGGAGTTGGAGGGCCTCCCCGTCATCCCTTCTCGCACGTCTTACCTATTGGTGGTGGTGGGGGAGAATCGGCCTATCACGTGGCTGGGCCCTCACGCTCCTGAGCTCCCCCGTCTTCTCTGGCCGGTCGCGCTGCCCGTCGGCACTTCGGCGATGCCGCCCTGGCCGTTTTCGGCTATGTTGGTTCTCGACGGTTCTCCAATTCGGGTCGACAGCCTGTAGGAAATCCTAGGACAGTCCTTCTCCTCCTTTACTTTCCCTCCTCCTCTTCCTCATCTTACTTCTCCTCCTCCCCCTCCTCCCCCTCCTCCATCTCCCAATCCTCCCCCCCCTCCTCCTCCTCCTCCTCCTCCTCGTCATTGTCCTCCTCCTCCTCGTCATTGTCCTCCTCCTCCTCCTCGTCCTCCTCCTCCTCCTCCTCCTCCTCCTCCTCCTCCTCTCCCGCCCAGGCGTTCGACGACGTGCTTTCGTTTCGCAGCGTGGCTCCCCAGAGGTCAGGGCTTGACGGTCTCAGGGCCCGGTTGGGGCCCCCGGAGGCCGAGCAGTGCCCCAAATTGTCCGCCGTGGTTTTTCCCACGACGCGAGGATGTCAGGGCCAATATTCCAGTCGAGTCTCACATGTCTTGCTTCAGCATTATTTAATCTATCCCTGTCCCCACTGGGCAATTGTTTCTTGGCCCCGGATGTTCCAACCCGAAGGGAGTAGCCTATATCCCCGTTCTGCTGGTTACTCTAGCCATTGGGGCCAAGGCCGTGCCAGTGGGGATGGGAATCGGTCAAAAGATGTCGACAGTGGAGGAGGAGGAGGAGGAGGAGGAGAAGCAGGATAAGGAAGAGCAGAAGCAAAGAAGATCGACGGGCACGGCCGCGCCGTTTTGTCTTCGTGACGCTGGGTCAGGTCTGGGGAGGAGAAGATGACGCTGCTGATGATGATTATGATGATGATGACGATGATGGTGATGGTGATGGTGATGGTGATCGTGATGATGATGATGATGATGGCGATGCGGCTGCTGCTGCTGATGATGATGGTGGTGGTGCTGGTGGTGATGATGATGAGGATGCGGATGAGGATGGGGATGATGATGAAGAAGATGATGGTGATGATGCTGATGACGATGATGCTGATGATGATGATGATGATGATGATAATGCTGATGATGATGATGCTGATGATGATGATGATGGTGATGATGATGATGATGATGATGATGATGATGATGATGGTGATGGTGACGGTGACGGTGATGGTGGTGATGATGGTGATGGTGATGGTCATGATGGTGATGATGCTCATAATAATGGTGATGATGCTGATGATGAGGAGGAGAAGGAGGAAGAGGAAGAGGAGGAGGAGGACACGATGAGGAGGAGGACAGGATGAGGAGGAGGAGGAGGAGCAGGAGATGGATGAGGAGGAGGAGAAGTAATCTGTTAAACGCTGCTCCTCCCTCCTCCTGCCCAGCAGCCCGCCGCCGCCGCCGCCGGGGACCTGCGGCCCGCGCGAGGCCCGGAAGTGGTCCGACGGCCTGGCGGAGGAGCGCGACGCCCTGCGGCTGGAGAACGAGAGGCTGCGGCGGGAGCAGCAGAGGCGCCCCGGCCTCGCGCCGCCGGGGCTGCTTCGCTTTAATCTAGTCGGGCACGTCCCTCTCCAGGAGAAAGGTTCAAAGATAGTCACAGCATAGTATGGGGGCGACGTTTCGTTTTTTCCTTTGTTTTGTTATTCTGGGCTCTGTTGTGACTCTTTTTGATATTTCGTCCAAAATCCGCCTGTCGGGGGACATGCCCGACCGAAGGCTTCGGAGGAAACAGGAGCGCCGCCCGGGTCTCTCGTCGGGGAAGAGTGGGTCAGAATTCAGGGTTGCCGACGTTTTTTGGCGAGCACGTCCAGGATTTTGACAGTCCTGTTTTCGTTGAAGGTTTCCAGCGGGAGGTCGCGTCAAGTTTCAGATTGGGTTCCGTCATGTTCATAATGGCCCCGTCAGGCTAACCCGAGTTCACCGTACCCGAGTCTTACGTCTCCCCGATCTCGGTATGATCAAATTCTGTACGGAAGGGATTGACGCGATGACCGACGGCATCTCTCGGCCACGTGCAGAGTGGGGCAGGGGGGGAACGCTTCTTAGAAACACCCCTGCTTCTTAGAAGGCACGGGCCTTGTCCGTAGATGCAGGTCCGAGGCCCTTCTAAGAAGCAGCCTCCTTTTAACCCTCGCAAGAAGTTTTCCGCCATCTCCCTACCCCTCTGGTGCGCGCCGCCAAATCTCCTGTTTAGTCTGGACAGTGTTCGCCGTAGGTGTCGCCGCGGGCATTTTTGTCCGTGTACAAGAATCGGGTCGCGCGAAAGGGAGGTTGGCCAATGGGGGGGTTCAGAATTCGATGCCTGCTGCTGGTCTGTCACGCCGCGCTGCGGTGCTGCGCCCGCCCTCCCCGTTGTTTCCATCTCCAGCCCTTGACCTTCGCGTTTTCGGCCGAGCGTGTCCGGGCTGAGGCAGACGTGCGACGTCTGGAGCATGGGCAGGCGCGACGCTTGCTGGGCGTTATCTCTCATCAGCGGGTGGCCCGCGATCAACGACGCCGCCCAGCTGGGTGCAGCAAGCTCACGGCAAACCAGCTGCAGGACCTTTCTCTCATGATTTTAATTCGTCTGGATTTTCAGCGTTGCTACGTCGAGGTGTTCGTCGAGGAGTGATAATGACATGCAGCTGTTTGTGTCACCAAGCTAGCTGTAGGGAGCGAGCTCGCGCACGAAACCAGCCACACGCGGCTAGTTTCGCGCCGAACGAGCTCCATGTAGCTAGCTCGGCGCAGCACTAGCTTCATGTAGCTAGATTCCCCGCCAGATCAGCTTGCCAGGCGCCGATGAGGAACACCTGATCAAGACTGCTACACCGGTGCTCTCAGTAGCTACAGCAATGTACGCGCCAACCTCAGGTTCGCAAATCCTCAACCCTGCCCTGCACTATCCCCCCTTTGTCGCGCGGCCCGACAGACAGAGAAAGCACCGCCGGGTCTCGAGTGAGGAAGCGCGATAATCCGCCCCCTGGGACGCTTCAGCTCAGCGATCTGGCCCCTGAGCGTTTCCATGGCGACTGGGGAGGGAGGATCACTGAACTGACGGATTTCGGTGTCCTGGCATACCGAAATCCATCAGTTCAGTAATCCTCGCCTTCCCAGTCGTCATGGAGACGCTCAGGGGCCAGATCGCTAAGCTGAAGCATCTCAGGGGGCGTAGATGACCATGACCGGGTTGTCGCGGGATCTCTTGTGGACGTCGGTCCTGGTCGTGGTCCACGGTTGGGCGGCCGCCAAAAGATCGTCCTCGACATTTTTCCGCGTACAGCCTTGGTCTTGGTCCTCGTGGTCTTTCCCTCCGGTGCCTATTGTCAGGTCGGGCGCGTCCTACTACAGGCGGATCTTGGACGAGCAATTAAATCAAACATCAACAAGTAGTTTAATATATTCAAACGTAGTCGAAACATCGTCCCCATATTATTTCTAAACTATTTTGGAATATTCCTCCCGTAGAGGGACAGGCCCGACGAAAGGCCTGTGCCCAGTTCAAGGCTCGGCCCTCGAGTGCTCGAGGAGGTGCTTCGCCGTCGCCTGCCTTCGAGCCCTTTATGTTACTTCGAGACCGGTGCCGCCAGACAGACCTCGACCCTGGAGCTGAGCAGCCGGCCAGGGTGCGTCCGGGGGCCTCAAGCAGTGGCGAAGCGTTGTTGGCGTGCCCATTGGCCCACCAGACAGTGCCCTGAGAACCTTCTGCGGTCTGCACGACATGTTCTCAGGAAACATTTCTGGCCGGGTCTGCCTTGTTTTAACACATCGGGTTTAGGTTCTGAGGAAATTGTTTTTGTTCTTCGCACATTTTCGGGTTCCAAGCGCATGTCGTGGTAGGCCTATAAAATTGCCGGGACGGTCGGTCCCTGCTCAAGGGGGGGGCGTGGGGGCAGATTTGGAGCAGGCTTTGAAGCACGAGCCTCGAGGGTCGGACGCAGAGCGTGCGAGTCGGTGGTCGTCTTGCCCTGGCAGGGCCTCTGGGCAGCGTGCCGTCGCCACGACCAGGTTCCCTTTCGAATATCTGGCGCTCTCGCCCTCGGGGGGGGGGGCAGTGGCGCGGGGAGCGCGAAGTGGGTCGCGCTTCGCGCGCGGAGCGCGCAATTGGTTGCCCCATGGTTTCCTTCTCGCTCCTCGTCCCGCCAGCGGGGGTGACTCCATCCAGCCCTCAGGGTTGGCCCGCTCCCTCAAGAAGCCGGGCCGCGTAGGTGTGCGGCGAGTTCCGGCGCGAGCAGGCCAATTCGTTGGAACAATCGCCCCTTGTTCCTTGTTCCTTCTTTTCCTCCTGCTCCTTGCTCCTCCTCCGCCTCCTCCTCCTTATGAGCATTGCTCCGTGCTCCTTGTTCCTCCTCCTCCCTCCTCCTCCTGCTCCTCGTCCACTCTCCCTCCCTGTTGAACGAGCCCTGTGCGGTGAAGGACTTCCCCACTAGGACAAAGCCGCCTCGGCCCTGGGTGGTCTCGCACCCTCCCCCTCGCAGGGTCCGATTCGATCCGATGGATCTGATTCGATGACCCCGCCTGGCCCGATCCCATGTTTGTCATGTAGAAAATTAAACAACAACAAACTATCTTCCCACGAGCGGTACGGCCCGATCTTGGCACGGCGTTGTTGAGCCTCCTTGCACTGTCGGTCTTGCTCTGGTCTGGGCAGGGGCGTGCATAGGAGGCAAGGTGCTGGTGCAAGGCACGGGCTTGCGCCCCAAGCGAGAAACAAAACAGACAAACAGACAAGAACAACAAGCATATAACAGATTACTCTCGTCTGTCGCCGTGCTGATTGCCGCCAGATCCGGCGCGGATTCCGCTTCCTGCCGCCCCGCGCTCCCCCCCCCTTCCCGGGCCCCGCCAGGCTCGCGGCGGAGTGCGACCAGCAGCTCAAGGACGCCAAGAGCAAGCACAGCGACGAGCTCAATCGCCAGCGGAGACCTCTGGGCCAGGGCAGGGAGAAGAGTCGGGGAAACGTAAGACTCGAGCAAGCCGGATCTCGGGTTTGCCGACTTCTCTTTGACGAGCGCGTCCTGGATTTTGACGGTCCCGTTTCCGTGGGATGTCTGCAGCGGGAGCCCGCGTCAAATTTCAGACTGAGTCTCGTACCCGAGTCTCACGTCTCCCCGAAAGAGGAGCGCCCTTCAGCACGAAGGCGAGGAGCCGTGAGGGAGGGAGGTCCTGGAGGGCCTTCGTCGTCGTTCTCGGCGTCCCCAGCGCCTCCCCGTGGCCCTCCCCAGGTGCCCACGTGCGTCAGCCCTGGTCCAAGGAAGGCGCTGGGGTCCAGTACGCATTTCCGCCCTGCCAAGTTGTGACAAGACTTAAGTCGGGCCTGTCCCTCTACAGGAGGGACGTCCAAAAATAGTCAAACAAAAAAGTCAGGTGACTATTTGTTGATTAGTTTTCAGCATGTTTGGGTGTTGTTTGAGAAATTGTATTTGTTCGCCCAGAGTCCCCCTGTAGGGTGACAGGCCCGACGTAAGACAAGACATTGGTTCAGCTCAGGCCATCGGTCACGGAAGTTGGCAGCATGCGCCGAGTGTTTCGTGTCGGCCTTTTCGTGGTGTACAGTCCAGTTCGCGGAACGAAGGAGATTTGGGAAGAGAGGGATGTGTCATATGTCGATAATCCGTTAGCTTTGGTTGCAACAACACGGCGATGAGGGAGAAGGGGGGGGCGAGGAGGTGAGGTGGAGGATGGAGGAGCGCGTGAGAGGATTTTAGGGGTGGGAGGAAAGGGGGAGCGAGGGGATGAGGTGAAGGAGGGGGGAGAGAGAAGAGACGGGGGCGCGAGAAGAGAGGATGGGTAGGGGGTGGGCGGAGGAGGCGGGGGGAGGGACGATGGTGGCGGGGACCAGAGAGGAAGGGGGAGGAGGAGGAGGAGGAGGAGGAGGAGGAGGAGGAGGAGGAGCAGCAGGAGCAGCAGGAGCAGCAGGAGCATGAGGAGGAGGAGGAGGAAGAGGAAACGGAGGAGAAGGAGGATGAAGAGGAGGAGGAGTAGAGGGAATGATGAGGGAGCAGGGAGAAGCCGGCCGAAGTCGGCATAGCGTCGCGTCACATGAACACCCCGTGGATGACGTTTTGCGGTCGGCTTGCGCCATGTCCCCGCCTCAAGAGGAGCGAGGAAGAGAAGGAGGACGAGAGAAGGAGGAGACGTAAGAGGAGGAGGAGGAGGAGGAGGAGGAGGAGGAGACGGAGGAGGAGGTGGAGGAGGATAAGGAAGACGAGGAGGAGAAGGCAGACGAGGAGGATGAGGAGGAGGAGGGGCACGAGGAGGAGGAGGAGGAGGAGGAGGAGGAGAAGGAGAAGGAGGATGACGAGGAGGCGAGGGATCAGGATGAGGAGTATGAGGACGAGGAGCAGGAGGAGAAGGCATTCTCTTCTCCACTTCCTTCCCTCCTCCCTCCCTTCGTGTGACCCAGCCATCCCTCTCTCGTCCTGCGCCCTCTGCCTCATGTTCTCTCATCATCATCTCCTTCTTTCGCGGTCCCCTCGCAGCGTGAACTCCTGGGCGCGCCGCGGGGGGGGGGGAAGGGACGAGAGGCAGGAAGAGGGAGAAAGGCGAGTGACGAGCGAGATTCGACGAGCGTTGAGAAAGGAGGAGCATGAGTTGGAGGAGGAGGAACAGGAGGAGGAGGAGGAGGGGCCAGGGGGTATGATGACAGGCTGGCTGCAGGAAATGGGGGAGGAGGAGGAAGGGGAGGAGGAGGAGGAAGAGGAGGAGGAGGAGGAGGAGGAGGAGGATAATGAGGAGGATCATGAGGAGGATAATGAGGAGGATAACGAGGAGAGAAGGGGGAGAAGGAGGAGAAGGAGGAGGAGGAGGAGAGGAGGAGGAGGAGGAGGAGGAGGAGGAGGAGGAGAGGAGGGGGGGAGGAGGAGGAGAGAGGAGGAGGAGAAGGAGGAGAAGATGGAGGAGGAGAAGATGGAGGGGGAGGAGGGGAGGAGCAGGAGAGGAGGGGGAGGAGGAGGAGGAGGAGGAGGAGGAGGAGGAGGAGGAGGAGGAGGAGGAGAGGAGGAGGAGGAGGAGGAGGACAGAGAAGGAGGGGGAGGAGGGGGAGGAGGAGGACGGAGGAGTGGCGAATTGCAAGGAGGACAGAGAGTCACAGGAGATGATGATGATGATGATGAGGAGGAGGAGGAGGAGGAGGAGGAGGAGGAGATGCAGGCTGGCACACTGATTTCTGCTCATGCTCCTTGCCGCGCGGGCTGGTGCAGCTGATGTCTCCTCTCCTCCGCGCGGGCCTGCCGTCCCCACAGCGGCCCCCGCGCCCCTCGCGCGCCCGCAGGAGCCGCATGCTCGAGAGCGAGAAGGGGGCCGGCGAGGCTGAGGGCAGACTTCAGGCCAGGCCCGCTCCTCCCTTCCGAAGGGGCAGTATCAGCACCGGCATGATCTGTCGGAGGTCTGGCACAGCATGTTGATGCAGCTGTGTCTCAGTTCCTCTCTCCCTCCTGCATCCCTCCTATATCAGGGAGGGGGGGAGAGATGGGGAGGAGGAGGATGAGGAGGAGGAGGAAGAGGGAGGAGGAGGAGGAGGAGGAGGAGGAGGAGGAGGAGGAGGAGGACGAGGACGAGGAGGAGGACGAGGACGAGGAGGAGGAGGAGGAGGAGGCGTATCGAGGAGAGTCGAGGATCGGAGAGGACCGAGGCCGGTGCAAGGTCCGAGGGGGCATTCGAGGCCGTCCCTCGCAGGCGGTCTCACTTTCCCCCAGAACACATGCCGCTCAGCCACGAACGGGAGCTCGGGGATGCACCCCCTGGGGGGGGGCTGCTCCGACGCCCCCCTCCTCGAGGATGGGCGCCACGCCATGGCAGATCCACAGGGTGCGCCACGTTTTGGCTGGTCCAGTCCAGGACACCCCCTACACGGAGTCGGGCATCGGGGTCACCGTGCGCCACGTCAGTCCCTGTCCTCTCCTCCTCTCGGGTCTGCGGCAGGGGGGCGGGGGGGAGCATCGAGGGGCACGACCGTCGGGCGCTCCACGAGCGCGAGGCCCGTGGGGCCGGTCTGCCCCGCGGGGGGGACAGGAGTCGGAAATTGGAGCATATACATTACCAGTGGCGGGCTGTCTTTCAATCCCAGGACTTTTTGAGGGTCGGGGACGACGCCAGGGTGGTGTGGTGTATGCTTTTCTCATCCGTTCCCCGGGGAAAAAAAACGACACATGTACACACCAGCATCCCGCATACACCAGGGGATCCGCTTCCCCGTGCGAGCTCCAGGGCAGGACCAGAAGGCGCGTCGGTGTGTGGAGAGTTCGGCTCCCTGAGGAGGGAGAGTTCTCCCCTGGAGCTCTCCCGCTCTCCACGGGCGGCCGCGCGGCGCCGCGGCGGTGGGCGCGCTGCGCGCGGCGCGGGAGCGCGTGCTCGACGACCTGGGGCGGTGTCGCCCTCGCCCTGCTCGGGTGTGCCTCCGCCTCTCCCCCGGGGACCTGGGCGTGCGCGCGCGCTGCCGCCCGGGCCCGCCGCCCGAGGCCTCCATGGGGGCCGACGGGGGGGCGCAGGCCGTGTGAGAGGCGAGCCTCACGCCGGAGCTCCCTCGCCCTGGAAGGGCGGGGGGAGAGGGAGGGTTGGGGGGGGGGGGGCGTTCGAGGCTCGCGGCGGAGCGTGCTCGCACCCGACGGTTGGCGAGGGGCGGAGGAGGAGGGAGGAGGAGGAGGAAGAGGAGGAGGAGGATGAGGAGGAGGAGGAGAAGGAGGAGGAGGGGGAGGAGGAGGAGCAGGAGCAGGAGCAAGGCGAGCAGTTGTCCTCCCCCCCCTCTTCGCTCCTCGCCCTCCCCTCCTACTCTCGGCCCTCCCTCCTCTCCCGCCCCCTCCCCCTCCCCTCCCCTCCCCCCGCGGAAGCGGCGTTCCAGGCGCTCGCCCACGAGAACCAGCTCCTGCGCGCCGCTCTGCAGGAGGCCGTCCCGCGCGAGCTCCATCCCCCCCTCGCTGCGCGCACGTCTTGCTCCGGCGCGCGCGCGCCGCCTTCGTGGCCCGTCGCTCCTCGCTCGGCTCCTCCCTGGCGTCATCCCTTTGGGGGCGGTGAGGACGAGGGGAGGGGGGAAGGGGGGGGAGCAAACGACGGAGGAGGGTGAGGGGGAGAAGGATGAGGAGGAGGAGGAGGATGATGATGAGGAGGAGGAGGAGGAGGAGGAGGAGGACCAGTGCCAACCCAAGAGTCATCATCAATGCCGGCAAAAAAACCTCCCTCCAAGCTCCATCTTCGCAGGCCCCTACAAGGCCTCATGTCCACTCAGGGATCCCTACCTCGTTGGAAGACAACATTTTGAAGACACGGATGCATGCCAAAACATTTTTTCTCGGAATTCCAACGGCACAGATCAATATGACTGCTGCGTCTTGACGATCCTGAGACGTACCAGAACGCCATTCCTGGTACGTCAACACTGCGAACCAACGGAACTGTTGCATAATCCTGAATCCTTCCCACACACCATTAGCGGTATTTTGAATCTTTCCCACACCACATTTTGAAAGGAGCCGCCCTCAATCCGTGAAACTTCTGGAAGACGAATGCGATTGGCGCTACGGCGAGAACCACATTTAATAAACGGGTTGCCCTCAATCAGTGAAGCCCTTGCAAATCTTTAACACGAGCGTGCTCGGCGCTAAGGCGAGAGCCACACTTTGAAAACGTGTCGCCCTCGATCCGTGAAATTCCTGCCACGTGCTAAAGCGAATGTGCGCGGCGCTGATGCGAGAGCCACATCTGGAAGACCACCCGCACCCCATCTGCGAAGCTGTCGTCAACGTTGTAACCTCAGGGTCATAAGCGGTGAGGAGTTCGCAGGCGAAGCGCCCAGCCCGCCCCGATTTCTGCCCTCGGGGTTCGACAGGGAAAGGTCACTCATGTGGAGCAGGAATGGAGGACATGAACAAGAAGCTAACGCCACGGGCGCTTGGCCGCTTGCCCAGGGAAGGAGGAGAAGGTGGTGGAGGTGGGAGAGGTTGGATGAAGAGGAGGGGGTGTCGGAGGAGGAGGAGGAGGAGGACAAGGCGGACCTTGGCTCATGCGGACAGTTAGGTTGCTGAAGTGTTCGAGGAAGGAGCTTGGATCCGAGGTCTCTATTCAGGCCTCTCGGGCGCCCTCTCCCAGACCGTTGTTTCGGCCGAGCATGCGGCAGGAGTCCTGGCAGCCGTCTCGGAGGACGGGCTTGAGAGTTCGGAACTCCAGGCTGATTGCGGAGTCCTCTTTGGATCGCCGTCGCGCATGTTCAGCTCCAAGTGTCCCCAGGGCCAGTTTTAGCGGGCGATGTCCAGGGCTACGGGTCCTGAGCGGGTACTTGGATCAGTCCACGGGATGTCCACAGCCGTGATGGGAACGCCCGAGACGAGGCCGACGCATTGTTACACAAGGCGGCCGTTTTGCGGACCACTACGCCTAGATGATTGCCAATGATACCTTGTTAATTTGATAATGAGGCCAATATCATTATGCCGTCTTCCATGGCCGACTTTTTCCAAGGTTTAGGCGAGGTTCTGGCTGCCTGGCCCAGGCTGTCTGGCCCACTCTTCAGACACAGGCTGGCGACAGCTGCAAGGAGGCCGTCGAACGATTGGCAAGGCCTGCCCCCCTCCCCCCACAGCAGTTTTGTCTGATGGAGCGGGGTACCGTAATGGCGCTGTGCGCAGTGCCTTCTTCGTGTGGGTCCCGAGTCCAGAGGGAAGTGGAGAGGCATGGCGCCAGTGTAGGCCCCGGGACCAGAAAACTGTGAGCGACGTCTAGGACGCTCTGCAAGCTAAAATCGGTGTGATCAAGGCCCGCGGAAGTCCCGAGCCCTTCCAAGAAATAATAGCTGAATCCTGAACCTATCTTTGGCCGTCGAAGGTTCAAGCCCCGCCCTCCTCAAGTTAGTCTGAGGAGGAGATCACGGGGGAGACGCTCTCCGTGTTTTTTTCCGGGGCCGTCGGCCCGGGACCTCCCGGCAAGTTTGGCACACGGGATGCCGAAGTTTCTGCGGCGAGGAAATGCGGGCCCAAGCTGCTGGGCTATGCCACCAGCGCCGCAAGAGTGTGTTTCTTTATTGCTTGGGGCATAATGGGCATTATAGCCCCCGCCCCCCCCCCATGTAGCGTAACGCCCCTCCCCCCCAGTGCGCTCCGGGCACTGCCGCCGTGCGCATAGAGGGGCACACGGCAGGGGGGGAGGCGTTACGTCATACTCCCCCCCCCGGCCCCCTCCCCCTCTCCCCTATGATGCCCATTGTCGATGAAAGTAAAGAAACGCGCTCCAAGACGGCGCAAGTTGGTGGAAGGCGTGCTCCCTGGCGCGCGTCAAGTCAGGAGGTTCCCGCCCGAACAATGCTCTCGTTTGGCGGGGGGATAATGCTGGCGGTGTGGGGTCTGGATCGGATTGGCCACGGGGGCGGTGCCGTCTTCGCTTCTCTTCTGTGCTAGTTTGTGTTGCACTGTGCCTTGTCTTGTTGTGATCCGCGAACCAGGGCGTACCTGAGAATTGAGGGGAAGGTGGAGGAGGACGGGTGGGTGGGAGGGAGGCGAGGGCGGTGACGAGAGGGAGGCTACGGATCAGTACTGGCCCGACGAGGAGGACAGTATTGGTATTCAGTCTCTCTCCATCTTTCGCTTTCTCTCTTTCCCTTTGTTGTTTGTCTCTCTTTCTCTGTCTCTCCCTCTCCCTCTCTCCGTCTATAGACACATGTACCTATGCATGTCTGATTTTCGTGTGTGACCAATTTCTGTTTGTTCTATATTGGTTGTCAGACACCCCTCTCTATATTATCTTTCTCTTACTCTCTCTCTCTCTCTCTTTCTCCCTCTCTCGCCCCTTTATGTGCTTGTTTCTCTCTCTCTCTCTCTCTCGTTATCTGGCTTTCTACCTCTCCCTCTCTCTCTCTCTCTCTTTCTTTCCGTGCGTGTCGGTCAGATTGTGCCCCGAGGGGGGAGCACAAGGGGCCACGATGTCATCATCCGCAGAAAAGGAGGAGGGAGGGGGCCTGGGGGAGAGCCGAGGGGGCGGGGTGGATTGAGAGGTTTGGGGGCGGGGGAGGTGCTAGGGAGAGTAGATGGCGAGGGTGAGGGGAGGAGGAGGAGGAGGAGGAGGAGGAGGAAGAGGAGGAGGAGGAGGAGGAGGTGGCGAGGCGGAGGGGGGAGGGGAGACTTGAGAGGGAGGGTGGATGGCGAGGGGGAGGCTGCCGAGGTGCACGAGGAGGAGGAGGAGGAGCCCAGAACTCCCTGCCCCCACCCAAGGCGCAGGCCCACCAGGCGAGGGCCGGGTCCTCGTGCACCTCGGGCATCCAGGACGTTTCGGGCACCGGCAGTGTCGGCTGCTTCCTCTATCCGTGGTCGTCCTCCGCATCCCCTCCCCCGCGCTTCTTCTCCCTCCCCCTCGTCGGCCTCTCCCCCCCTCCCACCTCCTCATCATCCTCTTCCTTCTTCTCGTCAGTGATCCTCCTCCTCCACCTCCTCCACCTCCTCTTCCTCCTCCTCTTCCTCCTCCTCCTCCTCCTCCTCCTCCTCCTCCTCTCACTCTCTCTCTTTTTCTCTTTCCCTCTCTCTCTGCCTGCCCCAACCTAGGTGCTCCCATGGTACAGCCGCGAGGGGTCTTGTGATGCGGGCGGGGGGATGAGGACAGTGGAGGCGCAGGAAGGGAGGAGGACGAGGAGGAGGAGACGGAGGAGGAGGAGGTGGAGGAGGAGGAGGAGGGGGAGGAGGAGGGAGGGGAGGGGGACAGAGAGGGAGGGCGAGGGTGAGGGCGAGCAGTGGAGGGAGGGGGAGGAGGGGTGACGAGAGGGAAGCTGCGAGGGAGGCTCCTGCCGTCTCATGATCGTCTTCCCCTCGGGGCTGAGAAGGGGGAACGTCCTCAGGAGCGGTGCAAGCGAATGCGTAGGAGGAGGCAGATCATGAAGAGGAGGGTGCGGCTGTGGTGCAGGAGAGAAGGGGAGGAGCAGAGCAGGAGGACGAGGAGGAAGGTCGTGCCAGAGGAGCGAGGATGAGGCCGGGAACAGGAGGTCGGAGCAGGCAGGAGGGCGGCCTGCCTGCCCCGGCCCGGGCGGCGAGGCGAGGCATCTCCCCCCCCCCACCCCCGCCGCGCCCCGCTGCCTCTCCCGGGCCGCCCCGCAGGACGCGATGAGGCGCCGGCTCGAGAAGGCCGGCTCCGAGCGCCCTCTTTGGGGGCAGCGGGTGGGGGGGGAGGGGGGAGGGCGGGGCGGGCGCAGGGGCGAGGGAGCCCCCTCGCGAGAAGGCAGGCTCCGAGTGCCCTTTCTGGGATCGGCCGGCGGGGGGGGAGGAAGGCGGGGCGGGCGCGGCGACGAGGGAGCCCCTCGGAGGGCCAAGGAGCGACCCACGCCGCCTGTCTGAGCTGGCCCTCCTGCCGGTGGAGGCTGGCGCGAGGAGGGAGGCTGGAGCGCAGAGCCTGCTTGGGACCTTGACCGCAAACGGAGATCATGAGGGCATGGAGGAAGGGCAGGAGGAGAAAGAGGAGGAGGAGGAGGAGGAATACCAGAATCAACATCATAACTCTATACGCACACTACGAATAATAACAATCAGAGTAAGAGGAGGAATGCTAATACTCAACAAGATAACCATACGTATTGGATGTGCGTCACATTATCGCTCCCCTATCGTAGCCGCCCCCGACGTCATTTTGGCTCAAGCTGCTTTGGCTCAGCGAGCCAAGCCAGGGTGTATGCTTCGCTCCAGCCCGTTCGCCGCGATAGCCGCCTCGCTGGGCGCCTTCGTCGGCTCGTGGCTGGGCTCCCCTGAGCCGGCGCAGCCGGCTGCCGACGCGCGCGTCGGCCACTGCACGTGGGAGGAGGCCGCTTGCCCTCCTTGTCCCGCGTGCGCCCCGCCGGCGTGCCCGGCCTGCCCGGCGCCGGTGGTGCCGGCGTGCCCGGCGCTGGTCGCGCCGGCCTGCCCGTCTCTCAGCTGCGGAGGCGGCTGGACGGGCGCGTGGTGGGCCCTCGGCGGCCTCGTCATCGGCGCGCTCGGCCTGTACGGGGCCCGCGCCTGCCGGCTGTGGGGTCACGGCCGCGTCGCTGGGGCTGCCGCTGGCGGCGCCAGCTTTGGAGAGGGCCCGGCCGCCCCCCTCCAGCCTCTCGAGCCTGGCCGTCCTCTTCGTGCTGCTGGGAGCTCTCCTCTGGCGCTCACTGCAGCGGGCGCGACTTCGCCGTCGGGATCGACGACGCCATCGGAGATTGAGACCTGGCGGCCGCGGAGCCGCAAGCTGTGATGGCGCAGGTGGCGCTGGACATCGAGCCACCCCAGGTGGCGATCAACTACGACGACGACCCGAACTTTCGGTGGCACCACCGCGTTTTGCTGGCGAAGCTGCCAGATGGCGCGAAGTGGGCGGGGGCGACGCCAACCCACTCGGTGCAGGTGATCGACCTCGCCGGGCACCAGGTCGTCCCCCTCACGCGCGCCTGCCCGGTGCCCGACCGGGTTCGGAACAACGTGTTCCTCTTCGACCCCCTCACGGAGGAGGAGCTGGCGGAGCTGCAACGCCAGGCCACAGCACTGGCGGGGCTCCTGGGCGGCGTGGTGCCCGCCCCTGGGGCAGCGCAGGCGCAGTGGGTGGTGGCGGACCCAGGCGCCGACTCGTTCGGGGAGGCAGTCGCGGTGCCGATCACCCTCAACCCGACTCGCTTCGTCCAGAGGGGCTCGGCCGCCCTGGCCCTGATCGACGACGGCAGGTGGACGGCCGTCGAGCGGGTCCAGATGTCAGATTTGAGCGCGTGGATCGAGGAGAAGCGCTCGGGGGCCGGCCGCGACCCCAGGGTGCTGGCGATCGAGCGCGACGCTCGCGGGCATCGGGCGCTCAGCTTCCGCGACGCCCTCGCCGAGATGAAGGAGCGCCGGCCGCCTGCCGCTGGTGCAGCTGGCTCTGCGGGCTCGGGGGCGGCGGGCGACGACTGGCCCTTCCGCGGGCCGTCGGCGGTGGTCGAGCTGCTGACGAACATCCGCGCGAGCGGGGAGGACCTCTCGGCGTATCACGAGCACTGGGTTCGCATGAGCGGCATCGCCAGGGAGAGCGCGGTCTCGCACCATCATGCGTCGCTGGTGTCCATCCTGCACCACTTGGTGTGCTTCGACCAGGTCGACGCGTACCAGCTCGCGGGCGCGGAGGCGCTCGCCAGGAGGGTGCTGTTCCTGGAGCGGGGGGTCCACCGCAACCCCAAGTCGCCCGACTTCAGGGGGCTGGAGGTGATGCTGGCGAGCCGGCTGGACGTCGGCTCGCCGGTCACGACAGGGGACTTCGCGAAGGTCATCGCGGAGGAGCAGAAGGCAGAGGCGTTCACTTTGAAGCAGCAGAGGCTCTTCGCCGAGGAGACCGGCAAGAAGGGCCAGCCTGGAGGAGGCAAGTAGCAGGGGGCAGGGGACGCCCCCCTCCCCAGGCGCCGCCGGTGCACGCGGGCCCTCGGCGGGCTCGGCGCTGCGCGGGATGGCGCGGCGTCCTCCTCGGGGCGTTTTTCCTTTGGTGCTGCCGCGTGGCGCCCGAGGGCAACGGTCGGCCTCCGTCGCCGACGTGTTCGGCGCGCTGGACGGGACGGGGCGGGAGCTCGCCATCGACGCGGCCGCCTCGCTCAACGCTCTGGCCGGCGCCCGAGCCAAGGGTCTTCCGCCGCCGCGGAGGCCTGACCACCACCCGCCAGGGGGCCAGCTGCCGCCATGCCAGCAGGCCGTCTGGCGCCGCCTGGCGACCACAGCATCTGCTGCTGGTCCCAGGCCTGACGAGTTTGATCTGTGCCCAGACGGGGCGCTCAAGGAGATTCTCAAGACAAAGGACATGTACGACCCGGACGTCTCGATCAGCGTCGCGCCGTACGACAGCACGAAGCTCACGGTCACTCGAGGAGCCCTCCGGCCGCGGGACACCGCGGACCTGGTGGACGACGAGGCTCGCGAGTTTTTGCTCCACCCCGAGCGGATCGCCCTCGGCTCCGACGAGCTCCCGGAGGAAGCGACCCTGCCGCACTGGGACCAGCGCCTCCTCCGCAGCCGCCACCAGCTGGACGGGCTCCTCGAGAAGCTGGAGGCGGCGGGGCTCATCACCTACCGGAGGAAGGTCATCTCTCGAGCAGGGATCTTCTTCGTGCAGAAGAAGACGGGCATGCTGCGTATGGTGCTGGACTGCCGGCCAGCCAACGCGCTCCACAGGCGAGCGCCACACTCGCGGCTCGCCACCAACAGCGCGATGGCGTCGCTGGTACTCGACCCGGCGTACGTGGGCGAGGCCGCCGCGGAGGGGACATCGCTGTGGGGCGCCTCCGTGGACCTGCAGGACGGCTTCTACCAGTTCCTGGCGCCGACGGTGTCGCACTACTTCGGCCTGGGGCGCGTCAGGCTCGCCGGCGACGTCGGGGTCGACGCCGTCTTCGACCCCGAGGTCGGGCACGACGTGCCGGTCTCCCCGGAGACCCCGCTGGAGGCTTGCTTCGGCGGGTTGCCGATGGGGTGGAGC